GCTGCTAGTGCCTGGTCTCACTTCTTGCTCAGTTATCTATTTAAATCCTCCTAGGTCTTGAAACTCATGAGCAGGTTTGCTGGGAGGCCTGTTCTGAGTAGGGTTGTGTACACAAGATCACCAGACTTGGAAGAAAAATAACCTGAGCAAGTAAACAGATACGGGGTGAGATAACTTAAAAAGGGGAGGGGGAGGAAAAACCCAGAGTAAACCAGTAAACCCCAAACAAAACCCAACCCAAAATCATGGGCAAAAGATAATAAGAAAGCATAAAGCTGAAAGAAATCATGCTCTAAAAACCACACGGACATAATTTAAGAAAAGAAAGGGAGAAAGAGATGGCCAAGTCAAGAAAATGGGCAAGGAAAGTGGAAAAGAGAAGTAGAGCTTGGGGGAAAGAAATCAGGAAATGATGAAGGAGAGAGGGGAAAAAATTTAATGTGACCTGAAAAGCTATACCCTGTTTTTGTGTTTGCAGTATTTTTCTGGTGAATGCTGCCAGGTTTGTTAATGTTGCGGAGGAGAGAAGGCGGTTAGGCAGGCGGAGGCAGAGGGGAACTGTCGCACAGGCCCTCGTCATGCACGCTCTATTATCCACCAGAAAACGCTAATGGTGTATTTAAAGAAGGTATATGATGGTCTGTAACTTAGTTTCAGGTCAGCAAACCTTAAATGTTTATAATGTATGTGTCTGGCTGAAGTTAATGACAATAGCTTTTCTCGCTGCTCTCTGTAAGTGCTTTTCCTTCACAGAGGCTACAGTATGGATTTTTAATAGCTGTTTAATAAATGTTGCCTTTGTTTCTAAAGAAAGTAGTCACAGCTGACACTAGCAGGCTAAAAACCCGATCGTGCTGAAGGAATCCTGTTTTCCTTCAGTTTTAGAAAGGGAAACACACACACCCTCCCCAAAATCATGTTGCCCTGGAGTAATGTTTGTCTTGCTTGGGTAAACTCTCAGTGTTAAAGCTTGTTTTTATGATACGTGTTCCGAGGATGTGCAAGTAAATCTGTTGCTGTTCTTAGTGTCATGCTATGTTTTGCAGCTTAATTGTAACCCTTCTCCAAGGCACAGATTGGCAACAACAGGGCTTGCTTTAATTTAATTGGGTTCTTGCTAAAATTGTTACACAAAACTGGCTTGACCCTCTCCCAGAAGCCTGGGAAATTCAATTACGCTCTTTGAATGCTCAAGAATGAGCAATGCTTCTTCGCTTGTGAGCACGGAGTTAAACAATGGTTTTAAACAAACAGAACTTCTTGTAGGGGAGAAGAAAGGCAAAACCGATACATCTATTTGGAAAACCTGAACAATTCAAAGTACACAAGACTGCTGCTGCCAAGACTCTGTTGGCAGCAGTCCTGGCCAAATCTCCTTCTAGCTGTGAGTAACTGGTAGCCCCTCACTTCTCTCATCACCGGTTGATGTTTGAGGCTAGAAGAGTCCAGCTGAGGTACACACTGCCCCCACAGAGAGCATTTAGTTTCTAGGCCTCTCAGGCTCAGCCCAGCTTAAGCAGTCCCAGTACTGCTGTGAATAGCTCTAGGCTGTCGATCTTTCCGAATTCCTCCTTCTTCCTCACTGGGTTCAACACTAGCCCTTCTGTTCCACTTGGCTGCCTCTCAGCGCGGCCCACATGGTATTTTCATTCTTTGAGAAAGGGGTCAATCACCAGAATCCATACAAAGATGTTACAACAGAAGGGAAACTTCCTGAAGAGAGGTGTTTATTTTTTTTTTAATTTTTGTTTTCTTCTCAAAAAGCTCTTGGAGCCTTTTTTGCCTGGGGCTTCGTAGTGACAGTGTTGCAATCTGTGGTAGTGAGTTGGGATAGTATTTTCCAAACCGTGGGTCGGGAAGGACTTGGAGGTAGTTGCGAGTTGCTCACAGTAGCCAACAGACAGTTTTAATTGTTGTCAATAGTTCGTTTTCTTCAGGGCAGAAGTGAGCTGCTAATTACACCAGATTTTCACGGCGCTGTTGCGGAGGAGCCGAGTTGGTTCCAGCAATTAGAGGAGTTACCTGTTCTCTGGGTGATACAATACTTCTGAGGAGAGAATAAAGGGAAAAAATTAAGACTTATTTTCATTTTATTTATTCAAATAAAGATCCCTAAGGGAGGGTGACCTTTCAAAATGTTTGAGAAATGCTCAGTGTGATCTCTCATCCTGGACACAGATCAGGAAAAATTTGGATATTGAGACCATATTTTTTCCCAACTTTTAAAAGTGCTGTTATTAACGGGAATGCCCCAGGATGTTCTAAACTGCTGCAAATTAGGCCGGGACTGTTCCAGCCTTCTCCCATTACTTTCCAGTAAATACCAATAGTGTTGATGTAGCAGTGGATGGAAATTTCTGGAGCTTCTCAAAGGAGCGTTTCTGGGTAGATACGCATAAAGCACACCCATGTTTTCCACCTTGCTTCCTGCAGTGCTGGCGTGTGAAAAGCAGAGGGGTGATGCCACAGGCATGTTTGGATTTTGATTGTTCCTCAGTTGCCCTAAGATCCTTTAGGTGGTGTTGGCAGCTAGCATAAGTTAGAGGAGCCTGAAAGCAACTCTAATCTAGCGTGGCAGAATGGAAAGTGTTGGGTGAGCTTTTAGCTTTCCCTTTTCCCTTGCCCTTGGTGGTCCTGGACACGGGAGTGAAGAGAGTGAGAAGTTAAGATACTCTCCGGGGCTTGTCCTGCTGTTCCAGGGTCACTGTTGTAGGTGATTTACCAGCTGAACTGACTGCATGTGGTCAGCTGTCAAAGTAGTTCTGCTGCTGGCACTAGCTTAGTCTAACGCCGCTCTGCTCTTCCTTCCACTCTCTAAATTTAGCAGAGGTTTTGCCAGGACACTTTCTATCTGCAGTGGGAATCCTGAGCGTGCTAGATGCTTGGGCGGCCTCGACTACCTCACTCTCACAGTCAGGCAAGGTAGCTAGCAGTGGAGCAGCCACAACGCCTTGCTCTATTCCTCCTGCAATGCATGGATAGCTTGGCAGGCAAGGGACAGCAGCTGTATTGAGTGCTCCCTCTTCGTATAAGAGCCAATGATGAGATTTTATAGGAAGCAATGGGAAAAAGCAGGGGTGGGCTGAGTGTAATCACACAGCTCATGCTAGTTCTTCTACTTAAAAATTTCTGGCCTGGCCAAAGACCAATATTTGCATTTAATAATCAAACATGCATTCTTATTAACGTGGCTGCCTGCAATAGGCTGAATAACCCTGACTTAAATATTTACTTGTGTATGTTTTTTAAATGTCGCCAAAGTAGCTTTGCAGACTGTTCACAAAGATTGCTTTGTCCTTTGCTGATTGTTCTGCCTTGGAGTATTTATCAAAACTGTGTTGCCAAAAGCTGGCAGAGAGAAATGATCCAGCTTGGAATTTAGCTTGGATCCTATAGCAAACATTCTTGCAAGAAAACTCCCTTCTTGCAGAAAGAGTTTTAAATGAACATGAACGGGCAAGGACTTGCTTCTGGTTTTCCTGCAAAAGATCCTTTGTTTGGGCATTCCCTTTAGTCGCCTTTTAAAGATGAGTAGGAGAAAAGAATGCTTTGAACAAAGCCCATGCCTGAACTCCGTTTATGCGCTTCACTGCTGTGATCACGGGAGCAGAATTTTTTTCTTGTCACGCCATTTAAATTAAGTGCCCATCTTTTTTGTAACTTGTGTTTGTTGCATAATTCAGCAGAGGAGGAAGATGTGAAGTAGAGGAATTGAATATGTACAACACCTGTAGAAAAGAAACGTGTTTTTAGGACCATTACTTTGCACCACAGTAACAAAGTTGAAAAAGGTTCTCTAACAGCCAGATCAGAGAGCTCATTCTAGATGGATTCTCGGGGAAAAAAAACAATGTCTTGCCCATGGGGAGTTCGTTAGCTTGTTAAAATTAATGTGGTTTGAATGGGATCCTGAAAGTCTAACTCGGCCGAAGGCTTACATAGTTGTAACTTGAGATAGGTCCAAGTTGGTGATTTTTAACTTAGAAGTGGCTGTGAGCAGATGACCCGGCTGGCAGACTGTGGGAATACTGACCCCCACGTGAAGAATGGTAACAGGACATGTGGTTACTGATGTGAACTCATCCTAAAGTTGAGCCAGTCTGAGTGCAGTCACCTTCCGAAAGAGGATGTGTCCAAATCTGTTTGGAGAGCTGATTGCCTCTCCTTGGATGAGGGTTGAATTATTCTTTATAGCAAAGGTTAATTGGGAGAGCAAAGTCCATTCCTTTAAGATTGAAATGCTGTCTAAACAGCTCTTGGGCAGATATTTTTGGCATTCATACAGGTAGAAATTGTCTTAAGCTGCTGCAGATATTCAGTTCAGCCAAGCTTGTGGAGCAGTAGGCTTGTGATTGTCTTGAGAAACCAACCCTACATGTGATAATTTATTTTTTAAATTCAAACTGTGGTGTGTGGGGGGGCTGCAACCAGGGTCAGGGTTGCATAAAACTGGATTTTTTTTAAATAGCAAAACTTGTAACTACTTTAGCATTTACAACCTGTATTTTGCTACTCATGAACAAGCCTGACCGTTTTTTTCATGGAATGGTACATGGTTCTTTGGCCTGAGGATTAAGACAAATTTGCCCCAATTCATCTGTCCCAGTGCTTCATCTGGTTCAAAGCAAAGTCCATCGGAGTAACCAGAAAAATTAACAGCCCGGGATTACAGATATTGGCACAGTGATTCTTTGCTGTCTGGCTGAGGCGTTAGAACTGGGCATCTGACTGGTTTTTAGTTCCTCTGAAGCTACTTAGGTTTGCAGTGTCCACTCGGCTCATTAGTATCTGA